AGTTTTAAATCTCCCTCAATACAACTTGATGTTCTTTTTGTAAATTACGGTTCAATTTAGAGCAAAAGCACGTCACTACTTCATGCGTAGTTTCTTCAAATTCACTTGTCTGCTTCCTAAATGACCAAAATGGAGATGGCCACTGTCCAAAATAGAGGTTTCAAAACCGGAGTCCACAAACCAACGCATGACGTCACTGTGGTTCACTCCATCCTGCGTTTATTGTTAGTGGTGTTCAAGTAGTCTGCATTCTGTTCATGTATCATGAAGTGTGCTAAACACAGACACTGGTGCTGACATGTTGGAGTGCTTCGTGTTACCTTTTTAAACATGATGAGCGAGCCCACGGACAGCGTCGTGAACAGGGCTGCGATCAGTAACATGATGATCCCCACTGGGACACTGGTGTTCAGACCGGTTAGAGCCGCGATCCAACCGCTGGCGAAACAAAACCACAACACGATTACACTCCAGCGCGCGCTCTCAGAGGGACAGAATCGGTACAAGATACAGAACACTCACCACGTTCCCCAACCGGTGATGCCAATACTTTGTAGAACGTGAACTCCAAACTGACAGATGTAGACGAAGAAGAAGACAAAGAAGCGGAATGAACTGTCGCTCCTGTGGGGAGGACAAATTAAAAAGAAAACAGTGAGAAAGCAAAGTGTGAAATACCAAAAACACATTTTATCAACTCTGTCATTAAATCATCTTCTAATAAATATTAATGCCTCTATCTCTCAGTCTGTGAAAGTCTGCTGGCTTTGTGGAGTGTCTTGGCTTTTCTCTGAGATATAAAACAATGGGAGGTTACAACATGAGTCCAGGATTTAAAGAATTAGCTTCTACAGACATGAAAAATTACAGCATTTTGACAGTGACCGCCTCTTTTAGCTTCAACTGTTTCTGCCTTTTTATACAGCTGCAAAAGTTGGTATAATTGTTCACGCTTCTACTCACCTGAAAGCCCCGTAAAGCGGTCTGTACCAGCAGACGAAAGAACAGGGAGTAAACAGCAGGAACCATAGCATGGCCAGGCCGAAATCTACACCGCGAGCTGCATCCACACAGAACCAGGCCAGGCAGCCGAACATGTTCACAAAGAGCGTGCCTGCATGGACTGAGAGACAAAAACAACACAGCGGAGACCGTCACTGTCAGGAAGCCTAAATCAATGCTCAGCAAAGTCTGTTTTTATACAGTCAAGTGTGTTTCTGTGACTCTGAAGGGAGATGAGATTCAGAGCAGGTGGCTTCATATCACGTTGGACGTATTATATGGGTTGGTCCACATGTCATGGGGTGTGTGTGTGAGGGACGCTAATATTAACTGGTAGAGGAGGTTCTGGTTCTGTGGTGCGTCTGATGGTCCACTCACACATCCAGAGGTTGTACATGATCTTGACAGTCTTCTGGAACTCTACAGGAATGTCCACAGCGATGTCGTGGTAGAAACATGGGCCAACAGGGAACTTCTCTGGCAGCGGAGGCCAGTTGTTCTTACGCCCTGTGTGGACAGAGGAGACAGGGTTTGGATGATTAGAGATTTACAGGATCAGAGTTTTCACTTGAGGCGAATGCATTACAAAGCAAATTGACATCGAGTGTGTGAACAAGAGTCTGAGCTAAGAATAAAGCGCACTGCATGTTAACAAATATTAATACCTCTTGTTAATTATCAAACACTGTGATCACTTTATAGACCCGAAAATGCATAAATATGAGCACCGTAGAAGGAACGCTTCATAAACAAATGCAAATTCGGTATTTTTTCAATTCAAGGTCATGAGTCTGAACCTGGCAAGTTCAGTTTAAAAGTTTAAACTCATGAGGAGGTAGTATGATCAATGTGTAGCTCAATGACACTTCTGCTGATTAGACTTTTTCATAAATGTAAGAAGACAAAGTAATGGTCAAAATAAGGCAGAGATAGTGAGATGGTAGCGATGAAGTCAAAAGACATGATAGCTATCCGATGTATACTGTGTACAAACAAGTAAAACTACATTCTTACACATTTTTATGCATTTATTATTGATTTTTATGTACATGTGGTGACACCTGTACATATAAGGACCTCACAAAGGCAGCATTATGACACTGTCCACTAAAACACGTACCTAACTTTACCTTGAGACAAACATGGCAGGAACAAATAAACCGACTGAGTTATATCTTGACACAGGAATCATATTAAAACGCCACTACTACATCAGAATAAGCTGTAAATCATCAAAGAGCTTACACAGATGAGACTCCTTGGCATAATGACGGACGCCAAGCGACCGACCAGCCATCTTACGAGCTGAGCTGCCAGCTACTGAGATGACCGGCCAGTTTCACCCAGCCGGCAGGTCCTCACAGCTCCAACAACATTGGAACAAATTTCCCAAAAGGCCTTTGATTAAATGGCTGCGTATTCAAAATCTAAATTTACATGCTGCTTGTAAGAAAATAACAAAACTCTTCACTGAAAGACCTCAATGTATGTTCAATGTAGGCTTCAGGTTTGTCAGTTTTTGGTTTTTATTGGGCTAAAACTGGCCTAGTTGTGAGTCTCTCTCCTGCAGAGACCATCAGGCGGCAGGAGGCGTGGCCCGCTGGGAAAATCTGACAGATTACCAGGTGGGTCACGCCTCCAGGAAACCACCAGGACTCCACCGGCTGATAAGGACGCGTCACGATGGATGATGTTTCTAAGACTGAGTCGAAACGTGTCAAAAAATAACTCATTGTCTGATAAGAAAAGGAACCTTATTCCTAACATGGCTCACATTCAGATTATCATCAACCTTTATTTAAGCAGGTAAATCCCACTGAGGCTGGCAACCTCTTGTTCAAGGGGGACCCAGTTTTATGTGAGCACAGAGAAACTTTCCACTTCTAGCAGGTGAATCTTGAAACCGTCCCCTTGTGTCAAACTCTAAACATCCCAGAGGGCCAAAATAAATGTGTGAGATGGGGGATTTTTAATAAAATAGTAAATAACAGTCCTTGGGTAAAAGGTTAAAAAGCTCTGACTCCTACTCAAATTTCTGTGACACCAAATCCACATTTATCATTTCCCAAGTTCCCCAATTTGGAACTCGAACGGCTGCTGTTCCGTGTGTGCTGGAGAATTAAAATGTTCTTCACGAATCGGACGTCGAGCCACATTATGTTGTTGCCGTTGTAACACGTCAACTTTCTGATCGGCGCTGCCGTGAGCGGAGCTTTGATTGGGAATGACCATTCAGACTGTGAGGCTAATGAGGTGTTGAGTGAGCAAAGTGGCTGACTGATGGACTGACTGACTGACCTCCCGCGGCTCCGTGCGACTGTAACTCTCTCTCCCGACGATCGAGCTCTGCTGCTTTCTTCTCCAGCTCCTCCTGCCTTCTCAACAACTCGGCCTGAGCACGCGCTTGGTCCTGAGGCAGACACAGAGATGCTCTTAGAATTCACCGCCCAACATCTGACAGGCGTTATGACATCCAATAAGGCGGCCAATTAAGGTATTTTTCCACTCAGGTAAGCTGGGATGTGTTAATTTGAGGTGGGAGGAAAAGGGGTTACAATTAGAAAAGCAATCAGCGACTGAAGGTCACTCACTTGTCTTTATCAGTTAGTACCAAACGAGCTCTAAAGTGGGACTGTAAGGTTCAAGGCTACAGGTGGGGAAAGGCTCATTAAAGGACAGTTCAAGGCACTGACATAAAGGGGAACATCTATTGAAGACAGTACCTCGTTGCGCCGCTGTTGGGCCATCAGAAAACACAGTGAATGAAGGATAAGAGGAAACGTGAACCAGAAGCAAAAACAGTTTTTATAAAGCTGTCAGTCCAGAAATAAGCATTTGGATCGTTACACACATTTCTCTCTTCAGTGTATTCAAACTGCTTCCATTTTAACACAAAGGGCCCAAAGATTAAAAAGCAAATGGACCCAAATGCAAGAAATTAAACAAAATCCTCATAACTGATATTGAAGTTCTTTACAGTCATCAGCTGTCTGAAGTGATGCTGAACCACAGACATCACCGACGCTTTGGTCTCCCTACTGATGCTCGCCCAGCCGCCTACAGCTCTTCCCTGTTGTTCGATCTTTCGCCTTCGACACATGAAGGAAAGCTCACTCAGACTGAGATCCGGTGGCTGACTCAGTAAGTTAAGGTTACTGCACCTCATCACCCTAAAAAAGCTTTTTAGAACCTTACATTTAGAATGTTTGTCCTTCTGAAAGGTGATCCGAGCGCACCGGATGCTCCCCAGTAACCCTGAATTCATCCTGATGCATCTGTCAGCAGTAAAATCAGAGCTAAATGTCTGTGTGAAGGTTCCACTGGCAGCCCAAGCCTCACCAGAACCACCACACGTGACAGATGAGTGGCTTTGGGTCATGAGTGGTTCCTGTTTGTGTGTTTCTACACAATGTTCTCTGATTTTGAACAGAACTGATGAACTTTCCAAACCAAATGTCTTTTTTAAGTTCATGTTGCCACCTGCTACCTGGGCGTTCTGGTTCTGAGTCTTGTCAGGGGTTCACATTGTGCTGAATCCTCTGCAGTCATCAGATCTTCTCCTGACTGTGGATCAGTTCCTTGCTGGCACATGATTATCTGCTCACCTACAAGACTTGAGCTCTTTGATCTGCCAGAGGGCTTTTGATTTCTATTTTTCAGAATGAACCCAGCTATTCGCTTTGGCAAACCGACTAATATCTTTGTGCTAGGTTTCTGTTTTTAGAGCCTCATGCTTATCCTCTGTCTTTACTTGCACGGTCAGCGCTTACACGTTAAAGCAAGTCCACCTCTTCGTCGACTCTGAGCCACATGTTTCCTCTACTGTACGTTAACTAATGCTGAAAAAACACACAGCTCGCCGATCGCTTTTTAAACCTTGCAATTTCTGCACTGTTAAAGAGGTTGTTTGTCCCATGAAGTTCTTTCTACACTGACATGACAAACACAAGACATGAATGCAGCAACGACTGTTTGATGAAGCTCAGAAACTGAACCGCCCAAATGCTTATAGTCTGGACTGGAACTGCCGAGGACATACGGCGTCGACCTAGTTTGTACAAATAAACGCTAAAGGAAAACGAGATGTGACTCATTGTGTGTTTCACCTGAGTTTGTTGCTGTGTGTACGCCGGCGGCTCTTCTGTGGGCTTCATGATGGCAGGTTGTGTGTTCTGCGAAGGGGCAGGAGCGGCTTTGGGGGCATTTCCAGGGGCTGCCTGTGAAGCGGCACAAGATTTTCCGATGTTAATATTTGTGCAACCGAAAGACAAGGCACTAAGTAGAAACTGTAATTAGGCCACAGTCATATTTTGTCAGTGAAATCCTCTGTGACTGAGAGGTGGAGGAGGAGAGGAAGAGGGTAGCGGAGAAAATGAGGTCACTGACTCAGAAGCACACAAACACATGCATGCACAGACTGGTTGATAGAGATGCTAGTTAAGCTGACCGTTCTGGCGTCTGTGAAGGGGTTATACTCCTCCAGACCACCAGGAGGGGCAGATCGTGTCACCTGGGTCACCGAGGGATCCTACAGGGCAGAGAGGTCCATACAGCAATTTAGGGGGGTGAAAACTACAAGCACAGAATCAAAACCGTATAAAAACCTTTAGTGGCTCTGTTAAGTCAAATGAAGTTATACGCCGACAGGAGCTCGGGCGGAGAACAAGATGTTTGATATTCTATCTGAAGTGACCTTTCTTGATCTTGTGGCCGTTTAAAACGCGGTGAATGGGATCAGGAGCAGAGGGAGAAGTCCAGTAATGTCATGCTTGCATTACAGGACAGTCTATGGTAGTCCTATATGTGCCATTCAGAGCCAGCAGCCTGCAGGTGTTCCCTCCAAACAAACAGCTCCTCCCACTGAGGAACACACCTTCACGTCAAAGGGGGAGGGGCTTGAGATTTAAGTCACCTGCTGAGGTGAACCGTTGGCATGAAAACCAGCAGACTTTTACAATGAAAGGTAAGACAGTGTCCAAGCTAGCATGAATTATACAGGTTACAAGTGTAGCACAAACAAACAGCTCGTTGCACCTGTTTGGTCACCAGTGTTAACAAAAAACACACTCACACCCATCAGCTAAAGTGTGCAGACAATTAGCGTTTCACCAACACTAGCGTTTATATCCTCTGCGATGTCAACGCATGCAGCGTTTTAAATTAAAGGCAGCTAAATGTATGCTACACTGCATGTATGTGGCGATATACAACACCGACAAGACGTTTAAATCGTCTAAACCAGCGTCCTATTTCCAAATATCTGTACTGTAAGCACACAATGTGCCAAAGCGATGCTAACCAGCCGGCAGGCTATTCCCAAACTAGCAGGGGCCAGCAACTGTTTACTGACGGTGGGCAGAGCTAGCGTTACCCAGCTAGCTAACATCATGTGTCTTTGTTCTTAAATGGCACAAGCGTTCGTACGACGTTAAAAACAAACGTCCTCGGCAACAGTGTGCCAGATAATTCTCCGTCGTTTTATTTACATAATTAACAGCCACATTAAGTGTGAGTGATACGATAAATAATGCTGATTGATGACTAGCTCATTCGGCTAACAAACGGTACACCAAGCAACACCTCTAGCTAGCTGTCAGGCTGTTAGCAGGGATGCTAAAGTGAGGCTGGCCTCACTGGGCTCAAGCGTACGTTAGCGGGCTAGCTAGCCGAGTTAGCTACCTGGAAGGGATTGCTGAAATCCGGGTCTGCGAACGGGTTGCTGTCAAAATCGGACATTGTACAGCCTTTCTAATAACGGTTTCCTGTGTGTGAGAGCTTCCCGAGTCTCCAGGGAAGGTTCAGTCCTTTGATTTGACTGCTTCTCTCTGCTGCCCGCAGTCTTCTCCGCCTCCTGCTGATGGAGACTCCTTGCTTAGCAAGTTAGCCAGTAGCACAAAAATGGCAGAGGATGCGTGATGAGCGGCGCCTCGACGTCACGGTTTCAGCACCGCGGAGAGCATGACGTCTGCACAGGTAGGAGCCAAACATCTGAGCCCACAGGTGCAGTGTGCAGGACGAGACCTGTGATCTTTGTGTCTCTGCTACGAGGTAAGCCCGCACTAATGATTACACTGGAAACACATTAAAAGCCACTCCTGCTCCTTCACTAAACATTTTCAGTCCAGACTTTGTGACATGTGATTGTTGGGCCCCATTGATCCACCAGCCTCCCATCTTCTGTGCAGTTTATCTATTTAATTATAAGTTTCCAGAGTTATCAAACTGTGTATGGACAGCCAAAGTGTCAGACACTATAATGTCAATAATACTTTGTCAATATTATGTGTAGCATCAGTTTCAGCATTATGTTCAGTATTTCAATTTCCTGTGCAAATATTATACAGTCATGTTACTCCAGTATAATTGCCAGTTTTACTTTGTACGCTCTATTTTTTAATTTTGCATTATAATTATTTCTATTTGGTCCTGCTGTGAGCTTATACTCCCTTCACACTCTGTATTTACTACAGCATGTGGAGTATTTGATTTCATGGGCAACATTTCATTATTATTTCAGTATCGTTGCCAGTATTACTCCTTAGTTCTATATTCTAGTTTAGTTTTAGCTTTCCTATTTTTACTAAATGTATTTTACTAGTTGTTTTCTCTTTGACACTGCCGTGAGCTATACACTTTATATTTACTGCACAATTTCATTATTTTGTGCAATGTTACTTCAGCATCATTGTCAGTTTTACATCTTTACTATTTTAGTTATATTTTAGATTACCCAGTTTTTTATTAAATGTATTGTCCCTATTGCTATTTTATGAACATTTTATATTTACTATTCTTGGTTTATTGTTGTATTTTTTGTCTGCGTACCATCGAGTTCTATCTGATCTTTGAGACAGAATCTGCTTTTGTTCATTTTCAAGTTAGTGGTGCAAATTCTGACTGATGATGATCTGACCTCGGTATAAAAAACTGTTTTAAACCAACATTACTTCCAGTTGCTCAACTACCGTAATACATTTTTATATTGTTTGTACTCAGTAAGCTACTGTATGTTTGTACTGCTTTACATTTATTTTTATTTTTTTACTTTTTACTTCACTATTCTAATTTCACAGTCACTTTAAAGAGAGTTTGGATACAAAATATATCATCAGCTTATAAATATTACAAATATAAACTGTAATATAGTGATTGGGTTTAGAGATAATGAAAGGTTAGACATGCAACAACGTTATTTTAACTACAGCTCCTAAAACTTCTTCTATTTAAGTGTCATTTTGAAAGCAGAATATTTACATGCAATGAAATATTTTGGATTTGAGTTAAGAACTTATCGCAGTCGTCACTATTGCATACCTGCAGCTATACAGTAATGCAGCAGATTAAACTTTTTAGTTCTGTTTTCCAAACAACTGTGTCAATCTGAAATTCCTTATTTATACATATGCTTTCTTACATATTTACAATCCACATCTTTTTTTCAGATTAACTCCAAAAAAACCCTCAAGAATTTTAATCCAGTGTACCGAAGGGAGTATTTATACAAACTGAATCTTCAACAACCCAACGCACAGCTGGAGCTAAACACACACCTGGGCTGTGACGAAAATTAAACAAAGAGGAGGTTATTTCTCCGGGTCTAATTTTTACATCAGCCGTAGTGCTCATTCTGTAAACTGTATGCACATTTGTGGAATATTGGAGCTCCTGTAGGTCAAATACCACAGCCATCTCCTCCACTTGATGATTATGATGATTATGTTAATGATGATAATGATGATGAGGATGATGATATATGGAAAGCGTCTGCTGCTCACTTTGGTCGCGTCTGCCTCGCGTGAAAGAACCGCAGAGGCAAACCCCGACTGCCTGCTTCATGATATGTAACAGTGACCTCTTTCTCTGGAGCAATCCCAGACAATTTACAGGAAATCATTTTATCTCACTTGTCCATAAAAGAAGTATCAGGCCCCCTGAGAGCTCCCGTGGCGTCAGTGTGTTTTTTCCCCCCTTCCAGTTTCTGTTATTTGCCCGAAATGCCCACTTGGGGGCGCTACGATCCAATAGGTCCCTGCAACCCATTTTGCAGAAATCCTCTCTCATTTGCCATCAATTTATTTTCATTCAAACGAAGGGTGACCATGTGAAGAACATCAGATCAGTTGACAGCCTGTAAATGTGATTTAAACATTTAAGCACCATTTACCCAGATTAAGTTTCAATTGAAGAACAAATGCTATTAGGTTGAAATCTTACAGTATGTGGTAAATGATGAGGTTAAAATATTCCCCCCTTTTTTCTGTTTGAATTCTATCGCTGGTTTTTAAACAAAGGCGCCGCGTTGCTTTGGATTTATAGCAGCCTAACAGCTAATATCTTTAAATCTAGCCGGTGTGCTTTTGTCAATAAGTACCTAAACCTTCATTCTTTGCAAACGTGCATCTTCTGCCTCGTGTACTGTACCTATATAATGTTTTGTATGGATAGACTCTAGACAAACACAAACTGAAAATTCATTACAATTCAACTTCAGTCCACAAACACACACACACACTCTCTCACACACACACACACGAAATGAGCATCGGTTCCTTCCCTAATCTTGTATTAATGGACCCAATCACAGACTCTATGAATAATCAATGGCCAGTGGTCTGCAACCGCACTGCTGAGACCTTGAGTGAAACTGAATTTTCCTAATAAGACACGCACACATACACTCACACACCTTGAGGCCCTTAATAAGCTCTAATGCACTGTGGGTTGAAAATACGTCACATGGTTTGTTTGCTGCAGAATGTGAAAGATAAACATGCTGTGCCGGGGCCGTGCAATGAGTGTGTATGCATGTACTGTATATATATATATATTTATATGTGTGTGTGTGCATGTGGAGAAGAGCGGTGTGAAAACGGGGATCTGTCTGTCCTTGTCCACTCTCTCCTGCCCCACTAATGCTGCTTTCCACAGAGGACTCTGTGTGGAAACAACCGCTTTGGCTAATAGCTGCTACATTAGTCTCTTAACCAGCTGGTCATGGCCATTTAGAAATGTTCATTAGGTCGCGGACCAGAGTGGATAGGTGCGATAGTTCACTCCCCACTGTTGACTGTAGAAAGACAGAAAAAGATGGGAAGAGGAGAGAGAGAGGGAGAGAGGAGCAGACGTACAGACGGAGGGAGAAACAGAAGCAATTTACTGGCCAACATGACGACCAAGTGTAAAAAGCCACAGATGCAATTATCATCATATTGCCCTGAATAAGAACCTTGTGCATAATTAGATCTCATTAAGGTCTATGAGTGTTATTTTAGGGCTCTGAAAGGTTGGATAAGCAGGGCTTGATATTATGGGTTATTAATGCTGCAACATCTGGTGCCATTCTGGCAGTCGTCTCACAGCGTCGGAGTGGGCTGGAAAATTCAGCACCGCGCCGATGTTATGACCAGACAGTTAAAATCCAATGCAGGGCGTCTTCTCCTTCTTATAGAAACGTATGGATGGAGATATACGGCGCGTAGATGTGTGCTAGTGTATAGCTTTATGTACGGTGTGTGTGCACGCGTGTGAGTTTGTTTGTGCTGATGACCAGTCAGAACACATTACACACCGCAGAGGGAAACAGCCCTCCGTCGCCGGAAAAGCGATTGATTCTCCATTTCCATATTAATGAGCAGATTTGTTAAGAGCCTGCAGGAGAGGGAGAAAATAACAGGGTCTTCATAGGGCACGACATTTATAAATAAAGCTGATGCAGAGAAAAATGGAAATTAAACCTTTTAGTTTAATAAATTTGAGGCGTCCGCAGCAAAGCGAGCGATTTGCATTTCCATTTGTGGCCAAATAATGAGAGTGCGGGTCCATGATGAGCCTGCTAGTGCTGCTTTTGGGTCTCAGACAGTCAGACAATCACTCCAGCGTGCAGCCCTCCACATCAATGTCATTAGCTCAGGCCTGTTAACTCCGCTGCTTGGCTCTCTAAGATTATTTGGCGAACTAGAGATTCCTATTGTCACTTTGAATGAGGAAAAGAATTGCGCTCAAAGTAAAATTTATTCACTTCTGTATTCCCTGCGTTTCCCAACACGGATGTGTCCGTATCTTTTTTTTTTTTTCTCTCTCTTTTTTCCCATGAATATTCGACTTCCTCTATACATGCAGGTGTCACTTTAAAATGACATTTTGTTGTTCTAAAACATCTCTGTCAGATGTTTCGCTCTGCCTCGCCTCATAAACACTTGCACTTAGATGCACACACGCACACGCACACACACACACACACACAAAGCATCACTGATTGAATTTATTGGGGAATGGATGTTGACTAGACCACTCCAAGAAGGCTAGATTGTTGTTGTTCCCAGATTGACAGACAGACCCAGAGCGGCTGATTGAAAGTGCCTTTTAGCTTGCTCTCACTGTATATTTGATTTGGCAAAATGGAAGGGGAGTCCAGTCTTTTCCCAGGATGCAAACACAAGTCCTTGTGTTTGTGTGGGAGTATGTTTGTGTATTTGTGTGTGTGTGCTGCTCTGCGTACATTGACTTGGTGGAGGCTTTAGTAAATGCTGCATAAAATGTACCCTTTCAGGTATTAATTGAATAATGCAAGCACTCCTCTTGTCAGCCATCAAGTGGGCCACTTTCTCAGTGGCCTGTGCTGCTCTCCTTGCCTGTGAATTGACTAGATTTATCTGTGTTGTTCCAGCCAATGGATGCCATTTGTTCCAAATATTTGACATAAACATGCAAAGAGCAGAGGCGTGCGCTCATAAAATAAGCTTCGAGACTGTCGTTTTACAGCCCAAAGAGACCAATGGGGGGGCTCTAAGCCTATCAAATCGTGTGGAGCTCTTGCTGAGCCAACAGCGTGTTAAAGTTCTCCTTCAACCAATGATGTGATGAAAAGGAACAATTGCTGCCATAAAGAAAGAG